GTACCATGCCGTACCTCACCAGACCAGACCAGACCCGCCGAGGCGAGATTCGACTTGCCAGGCTCTACTCTACTTGGAGGACCATGGGACTTAGTAAGTAAGGTTATAAGTCCCCTAATTGGGGTTATAAGTATAATTACTTTAGTTATAACCCTACTTACTAAGTCCCATGATCCTTTAAGTAGTAGGCAATTGCATAACTAGTGCTGGTCATGAACAAGAAAACATGAGATCATGCAATCGTAACAGTGTCATTCTCGGTCAGGTTCGATATACAAACATATGCACTCGCCTCGCATGCCTATGTGAAGCATGCACACATGCAAATTTGTGTGTTATCGTCTGAGGTGTGCAAGCGATCCGACGAAGTCAGATGCACTGTTCGGGTTTGCGTGAACAAAAAGAAGGCCAGCTGGGTCAGAGTCCCCAGTGTCAACTTCGATGCCACAAAGTCTGGTGGCCTCAGGTGCACATTCCCTTCTTCCACTTGCAACGGACTGCTACAACCTTCGTCTCGAGAGCAGAGCGAGAAGCGCAGGCAGCTCTCCAGCTTCCACCCGTTGTGGTTTCTAGACGCTTCCGTCGAGGCCAAGCAGGCAGCTGCTGCCAAAGCACGGCCTGCACCGGGCTCACGGGGCACTTGCATTTTTTGGGCATCGGCTGCTGGACAAAGCCCACTCTTGATCCACATTCGCGCTTGGTTTCTAGGTGCCAATTGTCCGCACAATCTCGGCGAAGTCGAATGCAACGCCCAAGGCAAGCAATTTCTCGCAAGTTACTCTACGAAAACCTTCGAATGCTGGCAGGCACCAAAGCCCTCTGCTTGGGGCGCTCAAGGCGGGACACGACTCAGCTGAGATCTCAGCATCCTGCCATGTCGTCGCTCTTGGAGCTGCTTGGAGGCGCGCGGCCAGCACCAGCAGAGGAGGTTTCCCCGGAGACGCAATCGGGGTACCCATCGCTCGGCGACAAAAGTGTGCGGGCCTGACCTTTTCCGCGGGTTGGATTCGCACCCCTGGTCGCCAATGGGAGCATTCTCAGGGGCCAGTACCCACACCAGAAACAGAGGCCGAATTACCGCATTCCGGTTTTGCTCACATTTTTCCCCAGTCATGCCAGTGGTTGACTGCCGAAGGTTCCGAAGCTGGAGGATGCAAAGACTCCATCCTGGAAGGAAGCGGGGGCTGGAAAAGCGCTTTTACCCGAAGCCCGGCTTCTTGAGGCTGGCTGTCGGACCTCCATTGTTCTTGACGGCATGGGGCCCCGACCTCAGCCATCCGGATTCCTTTCCAGATCCCGTGCACTCGATAGGGCTAAAGCGGGCTAGAGAGCATGAGCTTTGCGTTTGAAGATGTTTGAGGATGTCCCATGAATGAAGGTTTTCAGAACACAGGGGCCAGATACATCGAGCAGTGCACTTGTCAGGAAGCGGCGGACGATGCCAGAACAGCTTGAAGTGGCCACTTGGCAGCAACTTATTTCTGAGCACCCATGAAGAACATCAAACGGGGAAGCACGCAACTGCACAGCATCGAAGGGTCTGTTCTTGGGTCTGAGCGGCCACGAAAGCCAGGCAAATGCCGCCTTCATCTGTACCCTGTGCCGCTTCGTGATGGTCAAGCTATCACCTGAGTCCTCACAGCGAGCACATCTGAAAATGCCATCCGACATGCATGGATGACACGTCAGAGGGCATGCTTGCGTGACGTCCCGTACAGGCCTGTCATCACGCGATGCTCGCACTTGTTCTGTGGTGACTGCTTCCACCAGTATGCCCGGAAGCAGGCAGGGTTTCTTTCATGCTGGCAACTGAAAGCTGAAGGACAATCCCAGTGCCCAGGTAGAGCTCCACAGAAGTCAGAAGACGCAGATGGGGCCCGTCCAGTCCTTAGTTGCATCCCTAGTCTCGCTCTCGCGTCTTAGTCTCTCTTTCCCTCTCTCTCTCTCTCCCTCTCTCTCTCTCTCTCCCTCTCACACTCTCGCTCTCTCGCTCGCTCGCTGGCTCGCTCGCAGCAGCAGCTGCTGCAGCAGACGTGTTCAAGCAAATAGTTTGCTTCAGGTTCCGCAGATCAGATGCCCCTTCCCTGAGTGTAAAGATCTCCTCAAGAAGAGTGATGCAGAGCTGGCTTGTTTAAGGGGTCTAAAGTCTGTGGAGCAGTAGAGTTTGGAGGATGTTGAGGAAGAAGTGGACGGTTTGCACCTGGCAGGTGGGACCCTTGACAGATGGGGCCTCAGAACCAGGGCTCCAAAAACACTTCAGGGCGTCTTCTTTGATTCGCACCTGACAAGGATGGGGGTGCACTGCAGCGGCTGCGAAACAACTTGCGCATTCGCTGCGTACATCATAAGGAGCATTATAAGCCACGCCCTTGGGATCGATCGCATGTGGCCTTCATCCTGTCATCTTGGGATCCTTTTTTTGGGACTTGGAGCCAAGGTACGAGTTTGGGAAAGATGCCGAGCGCCTGTTCGAGGAGCAAGGCGCGTCCAAGTGGTGCGAAGGTCAAATTGGAGCACAGCAGAAGTGTATTGAAACTTTGCGACTTGTCATGCAGAAAATCTGGGCAGACGGGCAGGGGGAAAGGTAAGTTGTGGAGGCGAGATGGCAATGCTGCAGCAACCGCCAGGAATGTGTTGTGAGTGGAGTGGCCCTCCTGGTGCTTATGAGGCAAGCCGTACACCAGGGTCGAGAAGATTTCAGCCCCGTCCCACCTCAGCATGCAAGTGTCAGGAGCATATGGCCGGCGGCTGCCCCATTGAGAATTACCTCAAGTGCTCCTGGCGCTGTGGCATGCGCTCCATGCAAGTAGCGCATGTGTTTCAATTTCTTGCTGTCCGCGGGTTGTCGGTCGAGTTGCCTGCCATAAATCCGTGACTTGAGAGCCAGGTCACAAGATGAGGCGAAAGCGAAGGCTGGTGACGAGGTGAAGGTTGCTGATGATGCAACTCTCAGTGCGCCATCTGATTTTACGGGAGTGCTTGTGCGGGAGCCCGGTTTTCTAGACTTGATGTAAATTACGAGCACGCATACCAAGTCTGATTCACCAGGTGCCAGTCTATCTCACTCTCAGATGCTGTGCCAGGTACCGACACCACAAACAACGAGAGTACAAGATCCCAATATGAGCTTGGCTCTCGTGGGAGCTTATGCGTGTAGTTTTGCCTGAGGCATCGAACCTTGAACCGAGTACAGGGATCACGAACAATTGGAGAACTGGGTCTTTCTGTGCAGCTCTCTCGACCCAGGGCTGAGCCGGAACCTGAAGACTCGGTCACAGCCCGGGCGCCAGCTGCAAGGTTTCTGCTGTCTGAGACTAAATGCTTTCAGCTGGAGTGCACTTGGAAGTGATCTGAGGTTCTGGATGGATCTGCTCCAGTACTGCAGGCGCCAGCAGAAAGTAGCCGTCACACATCATTTCTAACGAACCGACCTGCAGCTTGAGAGTACCACTGTTGAAGCCTGCTGTGACTTGTCGTGATGAGTGCACAACGCATCACGCATGTTACGAATGCTTGAGTCTTGCAGGACTCCAATAAGGTCGATCTGACTGACGAGCGCGAGGCACTGTGACATGAGTTTTTGCTCCCGTCAGGAATAATCAGGATTGCGAACATTGAAGGTAACGTCATAGGAAGTGCTTGTAGACCCTGCCGACTTGGTAGGTCCGTGTGGCCGTGTTCGACTACACACCGGCAGAAGGAGTTGAGGCTGGACACACACTTTTTTGCGTAAGGCCCGTACGGCAACGGTGCACGACACGTTGTTCATCGCCTCTGCATTCCTGTCGTGCCAGTAGGATGCCCCATAAAGACCCAATGGCTGTGAAGCTTCACCAAGACGAGTTGACACCGCCTTGGAGACCACATGTTCTCAGTTTGCCACGGTGCAGGGCCAAATCGCCATTTGCAAGGGAGATCTCCTGAAGGTCTTCAAGGCTTTTGGTGCTGGGTGGCAGTGTTTGACTCCCGCTTCCGATGCAGCCTTTGGTTAGGTGACCGAAACTGGTTGGGCTGCGGGGGTGAAAACCTGTCGGGCCCTCCACCAACTGCCAACGCGCGTTTAGCGGACTTCCTTCACTCCGAGGCAGAGAGACCAAGGCGGACATCGGGGAGGTGGGCTGGTTCCCGGCCGGCTACCTCGCTGAGGAGCTCGAGGAACACCTGCCAAGAGCTCGGTGCGGGCGGTGCATTGTGGGCCGTGGGTGCGTGTCCTTGTCCTCATTGCCGCAGCGACCGAGGTGAGGGGCGCTGCCGCCCGCGGCCGCGTCTTGTACTTCGTACGCGTCACAAGCTAAAGCTGAAACAGCTGGAGCTCGTGGCTCCGGTCTGAAAAGAGTCTGTTCTGCTCTCCTGTGAGAGCGCAGGTATACTATCAGTGCAGTTTCACATCAGCTTTAGCGAGAGCAGTTGGGACCACGACACGAAGATACGGTCTGTTTGATTTAGATGTGGGGAGTGCGTTAGTGGGAATTGTTGCTTGTGGCCCACGATGTAGGGAAGAAGGAGTGGAGAGAACCCCATGGGTTCTATGTGCTGAACGAGACCGAGAACGGGCTGGCACTAGCTGCCTGTTCAGTGCTGGCTCAGGCACACGATTGCTTTCCCTGCTCATCATCGCAGCTTTTTCCGCCTTTCCGTACAACCTAATTGCATGCCGCATGCGGATGATCTGTTTGTTGCCCACACAGGGCACAACAGTGCAGCACAGGAAGGGCGCAAGAAGGCTAAACACATGTGTGGCGGCAAGATGCTTCGTGCCTTGTACTGTCGCCTGCATTGGCTCTCGTGCCCAGAGGCCCAGCCACGTCTTGTCGTTCTGTTCGGACCTGATGAACCATTGGCTCGAAAGCGCCGTTTCATACCCCAGCTTCAAAGTGGCGGAATTCTGATGCTCAGCCGCAGTGGAAAAGACGGCATACGATTTGAGTTCAAAGGTCAAGGTGTAGTCTGTAATTAGGCCACTGCCCAAACCCTTTGTCGCCTTCAAACATCGAACTTGTGCTGTCTTCTGGTCCGATCCGTCGTGCATTGTGATACTGTCCCAGTCTGTTAGACATGCAGCGACATGCACTCTCCCGACTGGGCACTGCAAGTACCAGGACCAGTCTCCGTCCAGGCTCTCTTGGTGGCCTCCAGGACATGCCCGGACCCGAGAAGAATCCTGTGAAGACCGTGAAGTCAGGCTCAGAGGCTTCTATTGCGCTCGCAGCTGATGGGACTTCCCGGCTCACCCGAAGTCACTGCATTTGCAGCAACAAGAACAGGACCTCGGCCAAAGATGACTGAGTTGGGCCCAGCGGAGCTTCTACACCAACTAATGTAATTTCAGCATGGCACCGCAATCATCCCACGGCTCTAGCGATGGCATAGTGCCGACATTGCCTGCTCGGCTGTTGGCAATGGCCGACATCTCGGAACTCCCAGAGGCACATCTCATGAACGGCCCCCGGCAGGGTTTTATGATGTTTTATGTAATCACGAGCTTCCTTCCTGCTGCAGTCTCTGTGTCTCGATTTGCTTTGCTTGCCAGCGTCCAGCACTACTCTTTCCCACAGACGCGTTCGGGAGGGCACTTGTACCGACCAAGCTCTCCATGACCGCTTAGATGGGTTCAGGTTTCGAGTCGAAGTGGGATTGAATGATAAGCCCTGTGTCAGTTTTCCATATTTCCAGGACAGTACAGGAACGGGTTTGTCCCTCTTGACAGCGTGGCTTTGAATGCCTCTGCCCGAGCAGCACCAACTCGCCAACCTCATAAGAACAAGCTAGACTTTGCTAAACCGTGCATTGTGCTGGAAGTTTGACCTGCCCGTTGGAACCAGTGCAACCGTCCGTGGCATGAGCGCAATGGATGCACCAGAGTGTTGGTCCATGTTGCCTCCGTCCGGAATGAGCGACTGTAGCTATCTGTAGCTGATGTGGAGGTTTCCAGCTCAAAGCACCTGGCGCCCGATCTGAGCCGCTTGGCATCCAGGCGCCGGGGCTTTTTTTTGAGCGTTGTCATGCGTAGCGAGCACACACCTGCGCACAGTGCTGCATGACATTTACTTCGAACGTTTTTGCGCGCGAAGCTGTTTTGCTTGAGGATGAAGGCTCTATAGTAGGAAGGCGCCGCCACGCCGTGCCCTTGGTTCCTCCTCAGAGAGGACCAGGGGGCATGGAAAGCCCTTCCCGCTGCGTGCGGAGACTACTTGGAGCTGAAGCTCCTTGATGGAGAATGGCGCCTTCAAGGCATGGCCCTAGTGAGGGTCGAGGAGCACGCAGACCCCGCCCATACGAAGCGTGGTTTAAGGCCACTATCGTGACCGTCTCGGGCGGCTGCCTCCAGCGGCGGCTCGATGAGGGCGAAGTTCTCTGCGGAGCATGGGGAGGAGCACTCGGCTCGCGTGACCAGGGCCTAGACGCAGAACTCCAACCTGGCCAGGGTTCAAGCTCTCTTCTTTCCTCTTTGCACCTCGCTTCGCTCGAGGGTCTCCTCGTCTTCGGATGCTAGGAAACCCAGGTTTGTGCCGGCTGCAGCGGAGAAGAGTCATAGGGCGAGCACGGCCACAACAAAAAAGTGCCCTGCCTCATCCGTTTGCTGCAGGTTGCAGCGCTGCTCCAGGAGGAAACACCTGTGTCCCCCTGGCCGAGTTCTTCCCACGAAGGAGATGAATCGGGACCCACTGCAAGTTGGGCCCGGCCGGTGGGTGGACACACCTCCCGCCTTGCGTTCAGTTCAGGCTCCCACCTGACTGGGCTGCCAGGGCTCGCCAAAGCTACGCCCGTGGAAAGGGCGAAGGGCCAACACTCATGCCACAAATCTAGGGACGAGCACTGCGGGTGCTGTGTGTGCCACCGGTGGGACTCTTACCTCTGGTCCGGAAAACGACGGGGCCGAAAAAGGTGGGTCGAGCTGTTGCACAACTCGCCTGCGGTACACCAAGCCCTCCACAAGCCGAATTGCCGTGAGCACTTGCGGCAAGAAGAGGCCTGGTGTGACTCCTCCGGCAGGATTCGCTTCGCCTACTGCGAGGAGATCACGCTGTGACAACTTTGCCCTCGCCATCAGGACGGATATCGAGTAGGTTTGCCCTCTCACGCCAGGAAGTGCACGGATCGCACCCTCGAGTGGCAGTTGATGGCCCAGCTTCGAGGTGCGACGGCAAACCTTCGGTCACCCGCTGCTAGCTGTGAGGTGCTGGTGCGACAGCGAGGGAGATCATTCAGGATCTGAAAGATCATCTGCAAAAATGCTCGCCCGCAGCCACTATCGTGGCACGGAGGTTCGCCTCATGGCTCCCTCAGGCCCGGACAACCTGAGACTGCTGCCTTACCCGGCACGCCTTTGGAGGTGGAGAAACTCGTTGTCTTTCTCGTGGCAGAACGCAGACAACATCTCCACCGTGGAGATGCTGGCTGCTGGCAGCCCTGGCAGAGATTAGGCGCCGTGCGGGGCATTTGGGGTCCCACAAGAGAACAGCTTGTTCCATATCCTGGACCCCCAGGTGGTGTAACACGTCCTAGCGAAAGGAAGGGCGCATAAAAGAGGCTCAATCGGTTGGCGAGACGGGTGATGGCAGTTCAGCGGCACTCTGGACCATATCAGCGTGGAACTTTGCTGATACGGCTTCCAGGCGCTTTGCCAGTTGCACCTGCGCTGCCAGGGGCTGAACACCAACTCTCGTGCCAACTATCGCCGAGCCTTGCTACGCTTCGTCGTCTTCCGTGAAAGGGAGAGCCTTCGCATGCTTACCACGGTGAAAGAGCTTGATTTCGCTCTTAGTGTCGCTCTTAGTGAGTTCATAACTGAATCCGTCCAAGAAGTGATTCACCCGGCTATGCAGGTGCCGCCGTGTCGGCACGAAACAGGTTTCTCCCCCGACTGCGGTCGAGACTTTACAAGGCCAAACAGCCTTACTCCAATTGGATCAAGATGTACAAGCGTTGTAGGGCACCCCTTTTGCCCTGGCCCTTTGTCCAGGCCATGGCAGGTGTTGCCTTTCAGCCGGGCAACAGCGGCTGGCTATCGCCCTCCTCTTGCAATGTCTTTTACTCTTCTTGCGTACTTCTGAATTTACGGGCTGAGGCACAAAGAAGTGTCGTGCCTGCGTTCCGGACACATCGTGGTGGCACTGCCCCACACCAAAACAAGTCGGGGCAGGGCGCGCGGTGTTTCACTATGTTTCACTATTTGACCCCCTGTTTACATTTTTTACTTCCTCAGTGGCTGGCATCGTGGGCCGCCGATGCCCCTATCCTTGACTCCTCGATGCAAGTTTTCCGGGCAAGATTCCAGAAGCTTGTCGTCTTCCTGATGGCACATTTTTCAGAACTTCGAAGAGACAATGTTCATGGGAAGATGGGCGGACCAAAAGACCTGCCGCATCTACCTGGATGAAGCCCGTGCAGTTTTTGGTGTCTTCCGTCCCGCGCCTCCCTTTCTTCGTGCAACAATGCAGCCAATTCCTGCGCAAAGGCATTGAAGACTAGCGCTGCGCGCGGAAGGCAACCGCTCCGCCGGTTTGGGACTGGGGAGCACGTTGAAGTTGGGAGGCGCACCGAGGTGCAGTGTCACCGCGGCTTGCCACTTGTGGGTCGTGGGTGAAACAAAGCTCCAAGTTTTGCCGAAAGCTCGTTGGCCCTCGGGCTCTTTCGGCGTTTCACACGTGCTGTCGTACGTGCATGGTGCGCTGACACAGACCGCTGCCTCGGTCGTAAAGACGCCCGTTTCTTGCGTCCAAAATTAAAATATATTGATTGGCAAAGGGAGGGACTGCATGCATCGAGAAGCTTGCAGGCTCGAGGCAGCCGGAAATGCTTCCGAAGCAGCTCGGCTTCTTTTCAGTGTCGAGGCTCAGAACAACCCCCGAGTGCTGCCAGCGGTTTTGCAGTCACTTCGCATCTTGGGAAAGCGGGCGATTGCACTTTCAATTCATTTGAGTCTAGATTGTGTAAATTCGTGTAGTTTAGCCATCAAAAAAACCCTCACGGGAGCCCCAACTTCCACCAGCCACCACCGTCCGATCTTAGGTGGAGCTACGGCTTGCTTGCCGGGAGGTGCAGCAGAGCTTGGAGGGCTTGGCACGCTGCTTAATGCGTGGCACACCGAGCCTTTCGGCCATGGGGAGAAAGCGCAAGAGGGGTCGACACGCTTAAAAACAAAGTCTTATGGACCGGCGCAGAGGCTGTGAACCCTGCTCACAGAGCTGAGCTGGACATAGGCTTGCCATGAAGAATTTCTCCCTGAACTTTCGGCCCTTGGGTTCGAGTCAGCGTTTCAGGGCTTCAGGGTCGCAAAACGATTCGGGTTCAGGATATCGAGCTCCGGACCGTGAGGTTGGAGGGCGTAGGCTTCAGGTTTGCTGACTAAAATTTATGTTTGATGGCTTTACAGTTTTCGAAGGTTATCGGTGCGCCATTCGAGCTTGAGTTGACGAGCGCGAGGTGAAAGAACAGTCTGCGCACGGTGAGGCCCACAACTCGGACCAACAAGCAGGAACTGAGCCCTTAGTTGGTCGTCGTCGTGATGGTGATGTCGCAGTCTCGCAGTAGTCATGGTGCTATGCGGAAGACGAGGAAGAGTAGCAGCTGCTGCAGCAGCAGTACTACGACTACGATGCGAGGATGACAACTGGCACTACAAACTACAGCGATGACGGCGACGATGACGGCTGTTCTTTACTGGACTTTCCTGGCCTTAGTGTATAACTCGTAACGTCGTAGTGCCAATACCTTGCTGGTATCGTATCGTGCGACTAAGGTGAATTGTCACTTCGCGTGCAGCGTCAGCCGGAAAACCCGTTTGACCAGCTGCTGCCCCTGATGAAGGATGCGAACAACGTGGTGCTTTGCAAAGGGGCTCGGATCTCAGAGGTGTCAAACCTTAAACTTAAACCAGCACTGCATCAATCTCCTCGTGCGGCATCCTCAGGTGCCACCAGATGAGTACCTACCTCTCAATACAATCTGCTTCACTGTCAAGAAGTGTGACAGCGTGGACGATGTCCAGTGACCAGGCTTTTCACATTCCAAGCTTTGAACCCCTGGAAGCATCACGGGATTTGTAAGGACGGTGAGCGTTGATGCTGCATCGACAATGCTGGCACAGCGATACCCGGCTTTGGCATGGGGGCAGCTGAGACTAAGCTTGTCAGAGTGTTCAGGAGTCTAGTTGGCATTGGCCAGACTGACCCAGTCATCTGCTAGGCTTGCTTGTGTGCCTCTTCCTGAGCACGCTTACGTTTATGTGACCCAACAAGGAAGAGTATCCTCTGGGAACACACCCGGAGTGCAGCTCTCTTCTGCAGATGGTCTCGATGCTGATTACCACAAAGCAGGATCAGTAAAACTACGTACAGTAGCGCTTGCCACAGGACGACAAGCAGCAGTGGTGGCAGTCTCGAGAGCATGTAATCGACTAAAGACAGCATATATCTGCTGATGTCGATGGCAGTGGTACTGGTCCCACTAGCCCACATAGACAGCACCAGGACGTCGATCTATGATGTATGACTGCTGGCAAGAAAGACTGCAGCATATGCATAGTCATAGTAGAGATAGCCCAAGCTCTGTGCTTGGGAGTGTCAGCAGCGCCGCACTTGTGCCAATTGCTTCTTAACAGCGGACAGCAAGGCAGTCGGATTGGTTTAGTTAGCGTCTGATCATGCAGGGATTTTGTAGGCTGTGATATCAGGCACCATTCCGTGCCGCGGCTGTAAGCACACCACTCAGGTTTCTGTAGACAATGCCATAGAACATCAGATATCACGGCCGGCATCGCCTGCTTTGGCGCGCCGTCCTAAGATCATAGACTATCATCGCTTGCCATGTATAATGCAAGCCTACTGCAGTTGTTAAGACTAACACCCTCAAGCGAGTCGCCGTTCTCCAGGCGGTGGCCATGCAGTGAACCTACAACATGCAACACAAGATGCGGCAAGGTAAGAAGGCTGAGTATAATGCAATGCCGAATAGGCCAGGGTTGACTGAAGAGATTACATCTCAGTAGAACTAATTGCGGAATATGGCTGCGGCTTCAGGTATGTAAACCTGCAGCCAGCGACTGGTCGATTGCGCTGAGTGCTGGAAGCATGTCGGCTTTGGACATTGCCATCGCAATGCTCTCCGGCCTTCTTCTGTGTTTTCATTGCCATTACCACATCGTCTTTCTCGTCATGATTGGACAACGGTTTCCGAAGTTTTCATTGAGGTTCCTCAATCCTGGAGATACCATCCTGGTAGAGGAGTCTCTCGGCTCCAGATCTCGAATCAGCGATCAGGCCCTGAACAGCTTGCGGTGCCAGGTTTACATTCTTGGCAATGATCGATGCCTGTGTCGCCGCAGGACTGTGCTAGCCTTAAGTGGTCACGCGAATGGGGTAAGATGTTGCACACAAGAGTGCGCCAGCGTTTTCTTGCGGGATCTCTGTGATTCTCTGATGCCAAGCTTTGTGTACCGAAAAGTACCGAAAAGCTCAGCCCTGTCCTCGAGGGAAACCGTGTTCCCAGCACAGAACGTGTTGCACCGTGCTGGCCCTGAGGCGCTTAGTTCCGATCTCCTGCGATTCCAGCGGCCTTTGCCCAGAGTCGCTGGAGTCCGTGATCGGCTCCGAGCGATCTGCCGGACGTGTACCAAAGGTCCTGTACACTATCCCGGTGCGCCTTGCATCGCCTTGCATCGGATCGTGCTGCGCACTTGAATTTCTGAAAATGCTTTTTGAGGGCATGTGCTGGTCAGGTTGGCCAAAACCCCCTTGGGACGCGGCTTCCCGCTCATCGGTATCAAGCCATCTATGATCTGTGCGGCTCGCCTCACTCATTGGGAGACCGAGCGACGCTTTAGCATCTGCTTGTTGAATCAACCGAGGCACCGAGCATGGCGTCGTCATCTTGGAAGACGACGCGTATTTCTACCAGCAGCACAATGCCCACGATAGCTTGGCTGATGATGATGGCAACGCGGTGGGTGAACTGCAGAATCTGGGGGCCACGTTTGTCTCTATTGACCACAAAGGCCCGAGTGTTGACAATGGGGAAGAGCTGTGTGGAGGGACAGCGCAGAGCGAAGGCATGTGCACTGCGCGCCGATTCGGAGGCATGGTCTTCCGCCTGGAGTCCTTTGCAAAGATGTTGGCCCCGGGTTTCCGGCTTGGCTGGGTCACGGGTCCCAAGCGCTTCATCGAGGCGCTAGATTGAGGAAGCGTTCTTTGCGGATCAGATCGGATCAAACGGAGTTGCGGATGCAACAGCCGAGCCGGCTTCCCGAGGCCTACGAGAAGCTGTGCTACATCTCGACCCAGCAGGGCAGTTCTCTGGCTATGGTTTGCCTGGCCTCGCTGTTGTCACAGTGGGGCAGAGACGGATTGCAGGCCGATTGGAAGGGATCCGAGAGGAAGAGGTTTAGCAATTCAAGCAGATGTAAGAGGAGCTCATGTTCGTGCTTTGTATCAAGTCAGGCCTCCAGTAGTGCATCCTAGAAATCTCTCGGAAGGCCCAACTTCGGTGCCTGCAACTGGGCCTGCGGCGGCGCTGCCGCGCGCTCCTGCGTGCTTGCGAGGCACCTGGTCTTGCAAGCAGAGTCCTCTTAAGCCTAGAAAACCCTTGCAGGCCCATGTGTCGGACTTGGCGACTTGGGCAAAGCCGCAGGTGGGCTGTAAAGCGCGTCCACATGTCGTAGAATCGGAGAATCTGCCGAATCGTTACCTTGTTGCTTTGAGGCTGGCATGTTCCTGTGGCTGCAGATGACGCGGCCGATATCGACTTTCTCCAGTGAGGCTCTCGTAGAGAGTCCGGAGCCCAGCCGGAGCCGCAGCGGCACAGCGCCCCCAGTTGCAGTCATCCTGTCGACGGAGGCATGCAGCGCCATGGCGTCGTTGCCATGCCCGGCTCCTTCTGTTCGCCAGAGCCAGGCCCGGGTAAAGCGTGTGACACCGCCGTGCCCGCCTGCACCTGCGTGTAGAAGATTGTTCTGAGCATGCTTGTGCCGATTTGCGTCCTGTCGATGCGCTGCCTTTTTTTGACGCAAGCATAGATTCCTTTTCAATATGACGAAGAAGTGTGGTGGCTGACAAGACGTCGGCCGACAGTCCATGCAGAATTCTCGCGCCTCCGGCTCCTCGAGTGCTGGGGCAGAGGAGGATCCACTGATAGATGCGATCGATTTCGACCTCGCGCCCGAGTCCAAGGGCTGCATTCGTGGACCCGTTCAAAACTTGTTTCTCCATCAGACGAACCCTCGCTTTGCAATCAATGTGGAGCTGGCTTTTCGAGGAGCCTTTTTCCTGCTAATCGCAGGAATACCCATGATCGTGCCCAGTGGGAAGTGGCAGGTAGTCGACTACATGATCCACTCCGGCATCTACAACAGCAGCGTTTGCTGTTTCATCATCTTCAACTTGGGTCGCACGTTCGGCGAGGCCCTGAACAAAGTCAACTCCGGCTTTCGCGGTACCTTCGCTGCTGCAGCCATTGGATGGAGCCTCTACACCATCTGGCCTGATGGGTACACAGAGGAGTCTGGCGACCTGGACTTTTGGCTCATTGTGGCCATCGGTACGGTTTATGTTTGCCTAGTCATGCTTCTGAAGCTGGACGTGTCTTTCCAGATGTTCGCGATTTCAAACTTTGCAGGCATATGGATGGACATGCTAAACCCCGCACATCGAGCCACGATCACACCGCCGTGGGCCGGGAACTGGTCGGTGGAAACAGACGACTTGCTAACGCAGTTGATTCGCACTTTTATCGGTCTCCTGACTGTCACGGTAGCACTGCTGCTTCCTTATCCGCTTTGGTCCCTGGTCAAAGTCCAGGAGAACCAGCTCGTCTTAAATACTCGGCTAACGCAGATTTTGGGGCTGATGGTGAACCTATACAGCCAGGACATGCCGAAGGATTACGAAAAGGCAGAAGTTCTGAAGCTTTTCCAGGGCATGAAGTTTTCGTCCGGTGAGAACGATCCCTTGATTGCGGAGGCATGGTGGGAATGCTTTGGATTTGGGAGGACGCAGCTTAAACGGCAGGTGCTCTTTTCCATGAGCCAGACAACCCGGAAAATTTACCTTCTAGCCTTCAATGCTTGGACCGTATCCTCCGATCAAATCAAGAGCGGCAAGGACGCCGAGTTGATGCGCCTGGTGAAGGACAAGACCGAAAGTGTGCTGAAAGAAATGGGGAGGATGCTGGACTTGCTGGTGAAGGCAGCGGAAGATGGCAAGTTCGATCCCAATGAGGCAAAAGCCGTCAAGACCTGCAAGGGCAATTTGGAGCGACTGGAGAGGGAGCTCGCCGCCCATTTCCATGCAAAGAGACTCGAAGTGGCTCAGAGGGCACCCAAACTCAGTGGGGGCACTGCTGAGTCGATGTACAAGGAAGTACGATTCGCCCAGGTCCTCACGTGGAGCATCAGCCGCATTGTAGGTGAAGTGATTCAGCTGGCTGACGGTGTCTGCAAGTTCTCAAACGGTGAAGCCTCCCTTCCGCCTCCTCCAGATTCTGCAGGCTTCCTGGCTGTCTTCCAAGGTGGGGATGTCGAAAAGAGTAGGGCAGCGTGACTAGGGTGGTCACCCTAGCAAGCTCTTTCCTTGAAGCGGATGCCTGAAGGGAGTGCTTGTCTGAAACAAGCCCAGCCAGGTGTGGCAGAGAAGGAGCACCTTCTCTACGCGTGGCGAGGAATCAGCTCGTATCTCCTGAGTTTCATGCTGGGCTATTGTGGATTCAAGCAGATTGTTGCTCCGTATTCTTCGGGTATAGCCGCAACGGCCCCTCTCCTGCTTTCCATGTATGTTGGCTCAGCACTGGTGAACGACTTGAACCGAATACAAGGACTAATGATTGGAAATGTTATTGCTCGAATTCTGAGAGGTTTGATCGACGACTGTGATCCCGCCGATTTGGTCATCCATGCTGTCATTACATTTGCATGGGTATGGACTGGCCTCTTCGTCTGCTTCCACTCGCGCTCGTACTCAACCATAGGCGTCCTGGCGGCAGCTTTCGGGGCACTTACCCTGCTCGCCGACAGCTGCAACCATCTGTCGGACAATGTTGGCAAGCGCGCAACTTTCGATTCTCTGGCGATGAACTGCATTGCCGTTATGATTACAATGTGTGCCGATTTCATGTTCCAGGCAGACCGTGCATCCGACCAGGCACACAAAATCCTGGACCAGTGCTGGAGTAAGATTCACGACTCGCTTGCTGGTCTTCTCAACCCCAATGTAAAAACGGTGGCCTTCGAGTCTGCAAAAGCCAAGGAGCTGCTCGAAGAAGCCGTGCACATGGGTCAAGAGGCGAATTTGGAGCCTCGCTTCTGGCGTACCATCTGGCATCAGGAGTTGTTCACCGGTGTCTGCCGAGCGACAGATGCTCTCATCGTTGCAACTGCTGCTCTGGAGTCTGCCATTGCGGAGCACGGGAATGACGCGGATCCTAAGTTTGCAACTTTTCTTGACCTGTCAACGCCGAGCTCATCCAGTGCAACCACAGGTATTTTTGGTAGCCCAGGGGAGGCGGGGCCGGGCTGATACGTGTTCCATATCACGACTTGAGGCCAGTGAAAGCATCCGAACGGGAACTCGGGTTTGTTTGGGCACCCTGTCAGGTCGACGTCTTACGAAACTTCAAGGCCGTTCAGAGGCTTCTTCACATCTTCGTGCACGAGACCGTGCGCAAATTTGAAGGAACGTTACACGAGCATCACGACACCGGCAACGAAAACAAGGTGCTGAGTGAGGGTGAGGTGGAGACGCAATTCATCAAGCGAACCGTACCGAAGTTTTTCGGTGTTCAAGACCAGCCAAAGGACAAGATGTCCCACGATCAAATGGCAAACTTGTCGGTCGTGTTCGCTGGGCGCGCGCGGATCAAGGATCTTCTCCGAAAGGTTCAGAAAATCATTTTGGCAAGCCACTGGGAACAATAAGTCCACCTGTGGAAAGCCAGGAGCTTTGAACTGCGCTACCTTGCAAGCTGAAAAAGAAAGTTTGCTGAAGGGAGAGTGTCAGGCGAGAGAGGAAGAGAGCCCCTCAGTTCGTTGCAGGTCGGCCAGTTCCCTACCTTCGCCTGTCCTTCGTGACGCCGGAAGAGAGCTACCCGGAGGGCCTTCGGCGCTTGAGAGAGGCAAGGAGTCAGCTGCTGGAGGGGAGTGGACCGAGTCCGAGCGCTCCGAGGTCCTCTTGGAGCTCAGCCTACCGCTGAAAAGCTCTGAGTCTCAGGAGGTCCGCCTGCGCCATCCTGCGCCGGGGCACCGAATTTGTGAGACTTTCGGCTGAGTTGTTCCTCAGGCATATCCTTCCGGCTGATGCACTGCCAAGCTGCTGCGCCTTTGTGTTTCGATCAGCTCCCCTCGCGACAATGCACAAGCCTGTGGAGAGTGGATAGTGTCAGCGATCGTGCTGTTGGTCACGGGCAAAAAGCAAGTTGCTGTGCTCCTTGCAAAATCAAGCTCGAAGGGAATGCAAGCTTTCGTCTTAACCGCAAGCCGTCGTCTTTCGTAAAGCCCTGGAGCTCGAAATAAAAGCCTGCGCATGAGGGCGACAGCGGCAATCGTGGGGCACGAGATGTCCCAGGAGGCACCTGGCATCAGCACGCAGTGAGGAGTTGGGAACTGTCCTGGCGCTGCTGTACTTAGATGGCAGATGCGTGTCAGGCCTGGGATGAAAGCCAAATGTTGACTATGCAGGCCGGGGCCGGCGCAGCCTTTCGTTCTTGTGATCCCCTTGTATGCTCATGTGGACCTTCGTCACAGGTCGTTACTGGTGTCCAAGGCCTTTTGGAAAGGCACCTGATTGCCCAAGCTGGGCGTTAATCGGTTGCAGGCTTGCTTGCTACATCTCAGTGCAGACCAGCTTTCGGATCAAAGCTGTCGAGCTTCCACACTCGAGCGACTTGCGACATCCAGATCTAGCATTAGTGATTTCTCTCCGCCTCTAAGACGATCCCTCCGGCTGCAGTCAATGCTGCATGCGCCATGCGATGCCTCAGCGAGCACTGCGAGGCGAGTGACACTGTACAGATTGCACTCAGTGTGCGTGTCCGGTTTCGCTGAAGAGCAGAGGTTTTCCGCTACATTTCAGTTGGCCGCTCTTGTCCGACATTCTGAGGTGCGACCGGCAGACCAGCTCCAGACAGGCGCTGCGCTGTGGACACCTTTGCCGTTGCACCACAAAGCAGCCTGTCGAGCAAAGAAAAGAAAGACTGCAAGGCATGGACCATATCGAAGTCGCATCAAGTACCGTAGGCACCTTTGGACGATGTGTCGTCTTGCATGGAGATCGTCAGGTGAGCACCTTCTTCAACTCGGAAACCGTTCTGCAGGCTGCCGTGCCGCAGCGGCGCACGCTGCGCACAGAAGGCGGGCCCTTTCGTCATGTGGGGCTTATGCAGTGTCCACCATACCTCCGACACATTCTCAGGGTTTAGCGGATGGTTCCCGAATCCGGATGAAAAGCGCGTGGAGCCACCAGAGGCCAGCACTGGGCAGCACATCTCTCTGCCTGATCAAATTGCTTAGTGTGCTCCGAACTGCCCCACGCGATTGAACAGGGCCAGGAGGCAATGGCCATCCAAGAGGCAGAGAAGGAGGAGGTTCGGGCAGGGAGCTGTAAAGGACTGGGCAAAGACATCTGCACCCGAGCACAGGAGCACGAGGAAGATCCTATGTCAAAGGCTTCCTGGCGTGAAGTGAGACGGCGTGAAATGGGAACCAGGGAAGTCTGCATTTCACGGTTCTCGTCTCAGCCCAGGCTTTAGACAGAGCTGGAGACGCCGTGGCCGGGGATGCTGAGAAGACACTGGAGAAGATGAAGGTGCTTGTGGCCATGATGTGATGGCTTTTACCATGGGCACGCTCACCTTTTCTTGTTGCCATTGTTGTCATCATCGTCTTCATGTTCTCAAGCTCAGAAAAATCATGATCACAATCATCATCATCATCATCATCATCATCAGCGTCGTCGTCACCATCACCATGACCAGCATCACCATCATCACCACCACCATCATCATCACCACAACCATCATCTTCAGCAGCAGCATCATCCTGCTCATGTTCATGTGCATGTTCATCGTGTTATCGTTGTTGTTGTTGTTGTTGTTGTTGTCGTCGTCGTTGTTGTTCCTTGTTCCTTGTTCCTTATCATCCTTGTCCTCCTTGTTCTTCTTGTCCTCCTTGTCCTACTTATTATTATTATTCTTCTTCTTGTTGTTGTTGCTGTTGTTGTTGGTGCTTTTGTTTTTGTTGTTTTTGTTGTTGTTGTTGTTGTTGTCGTCGTTGTTGTTCCTTGTTCCTTATTATCCTTGTCCTCCTTGTTCTTCTTGTCCTCCTTGTTCTTCTTGTCCTCCTTGTCCTACTTATTATTCTTCTTCTTCTTGTTGTTGTTGGTGCTTTTGTTTTTGTTGTTGTTGTTGTTGTCGTTGTTGTTGTTGTCGTCGTCGTTGTTGTTCCTTGTTCCTTATTATCCTTGTCCTCCTTGTTCTTCTTGTCCTCCTTGTCCTACTTATTCTTCTTCTTCTTGTTGTTGCTGTTGTTGTTGTTGGTGCTTTTGTTTTTGTTGTTGTTGTCGTTGTTGTTGTTGTTGTTGTCGTCGTTGTTGTTCCTTGTTCCTTATTATCCTTGTCCTCCTTGTTCTTCTTGTCCTCCTTGTTCTTCTTGTCCTCCTTGTCCTACTTCTTCTTCTTCTTGCTGTTGTTGTTGGTGCTTTTGTTTTTGTTGTTGTTGTTGTCGTTGTTGTTGTTGTTGTCGTCGTCGTTGTTGTTCCTTGTTCCTTATTATCCTTGTCCTCCTTGTTATTCTTGTCCTCCTTGTTCTTCTTGTCCTCCTTGTCCTACTTATTATTATTATTCTTCTTGTTGTTGTTGCTGTTGTTGTTGGTACTTTTGTTTTTGTTGTTGTTGTTGTCGTCGTCGTCGTTGTTGTTCCTTGTTCCTTGTTCCTTATTTATTATCCTGGTCCTCCTTGTTCTTCTTGTCCTCCTTGTCCTACTTATTGTTCTTCTTCTTCTTGTTGTTGTTGCTGTTGTTGTTGCTGTTGTTGTTGGTTTTTTTTCTTTTTTTTTTTTTTTTTTGTTGTTGTTGTTGTTGTTGTTGTTGTCCTTGTCCTTGTCCTTGTCCTCCTTGTCCTCCTTGTCCTCCTTGTCCTCCTTGTCCTTGTCCTTGTGGTGTTTGTTGTTGTTATTGTTGCTGCTGCTGCTGCTGCGGTTGCTGTTGCTGCTGCTGCTGTTGTTGTTGTTGTTGTTGTTGCTGCTGTTGTCGTCGTTGTTGTTGTTGTGGTTGTGGGTGGTGGTGTTGTTGGTGTTGGTGTTGTTGCTGGCTGTCGCTGCTGTTGTTGCTGTTGTTGCTGCTGGTGTTGTTGTTG